CCCTGAGCTACGAAGCAGCAGCTGGCAGCGTCTCAATGCTGGAGTAACAGCCACCGACAACACACCCACTCCAGCGTTGCCATGTGAGCACACACACTCATAGAGCACGAGGACGAGGCCGCCATCCTTCCCGCTTCCGAGAGCGGACCGAGATGCGCACGTAATTACACCGGGGTGGGCACGCTGGGATTCAAACCCAGGCCTACCTGCCTCCTATGCACTAGCCCGGCCATCCCTCCAAGCTGCACCTTAAATGCAAAACCCAACCCGTGTGTGTGACCACACTGCGGAAAAAGACGTCTTTCAACATCTCAGGTCTGGCCTTGGCTCGGCCTCAAACCCACCCTAGGTTCAAACACTATGCTTTGTCCTCCTCATTTTCAGACCAGGAGTTGCTTGGAAGGAAAAAAGCAGTTTAAGGAGCACAGGCCATTCCTCATTGACAGCTCATTCAAAAATCTACATTTCCTCTGCTTGAGCACGGCATGGGAGCTGGGCTAGGGTGTTACCTGGTTCAGAGTCCCTTGGTGCTGGGGTGCGGATGGCTGCTGGGGTGTGGCTGAGCCATAGGAGCTGGCCATCCCATACTGGGAAGGGGAGCCGTAGCTCTGGTACATGCTCTGCAAAGGTGCAGGGAGGGAGGGTTTAGTGGGAGGCCTGCCCTTTCCACTTCCCCAGCCCGCTCAGGAACTACACCAGCCATGGCCCTCTACCGATCCCTCACCCCTTTCTCTCTCCACTATATTAATGCACCACACCCTCTCATATACTAAAAAAAGAAAAACCTCTATCAATCCCGCATCTCACTTAGCTAGTTCTCAGAAAAATATAATCAACAATACTGAGTGCCAACTTTTCTAAGCACCACAACGAACAGTAAGAAGGAAAACCCATGAACTAATGAAGCTTGTGCTTGAATTACATGCCCGGCTGTAGACATGAATATATAATATATCCAGCAATAAGAATCATGAACAACAAAAAGGCAAAGAAAGGGAGAGAGACAGGCTGCAAGGCAGGAATGCTACTTTCAATCAGTGTGTCAGGTAGAGGCTCTCTGAAGGCGGCATCTGAGCAGAGACCTCCAAGAGGCGGCAACACAGGGAACACTGCAGCCAGGGCAAAGCAAGAGCGGGCCTGGCGGGGCGAGCATCAGGGAGGTCTCCGCTTTGATGGCCATGGCAGAATAAGCATGAGGAGAGAAGGGACCAGAACCAGGTATGTAGGACCTTGTGGCTCATGGTGAGGACCTTGGAATGCACCTCATGGGCAAGTAGAGGGTTTCCAGCAGTCATCACCGCTATCTCCAGTCCATCCACCACCGGGCCCCATCCCGGCAGACTCCGCCCCGCCCCACCCCGCCGGCTGGGCACTCACCATGGGATAGTAGTAGCTGTAGGGGTAGGCATAGTTGTACTGCTGGTACCACTGGTAGTACTGCTGCTGCTGCAAAGCTGAGGCTTCTGCCTGGGACACGTACTGTGGAAACAGAGAGGCACACGTGCCGTCAGCAGCCCAAATCCACAGGCAGCCCCCAAAGCACAAGCCTGTTGTTTACTGGTGGGTAACTGCCAAGGGATGAAACTGGGTTCATGTATCTGCAAAGTGAGCCGCCGTCTCCACCATGAGACTCACGGATGTTAGAGACCAGGGACATGGGCATGGCCTCCCTCTTCAGAAACACATCACACCCTAGATTCCTCAAGGAAACAGAACTCTTCCGTTCAGACTTAGATACCCTGGAACATCTTTTTATGTTTCCCCTCAGAGCACCCCGTCCGAATGATACAAGAGGACGCCAGACTGTCTCTCTCCCACGACCACTGGTTCAGGGTACCCCAGTCCCATGTCCTTCTCACTTGTGCACTGGCCACAGGCCCATTGCTGCTGGACTTGGCAGAGCTGCCGGCGGCTCCTGACTTGCTGATGCTGGCCAGGGCCTGGCGGGCCTTCTCCCACTCCGGGTTCTCGTGCATTGGCGTCTCCATGCCATTCTCTCGGCCTGCCCCAGCCACCATGCTGTACTGAGAAGACCTGCAGAGAGAGGACCTCAAGTCACACCTGTTCTCCCCACTGTACACAGGTGGGCAAGTTGGGAGGCAAATTCCAGTCCCTGGATCCCAAATCTAACTGTTACTACCTATCTAAGCCTCAGTTTTCGAATCTGTACTATGCTGATAAAAGGGTTTCTGCTTCAGAGTCTTCTGGGAGGGATAAATGAGATCACCCACTTAAGGTACTTATCCCAGAGCCTGGCACACAGGAGTTGTTAAAACCAAACAAACAAAATTAACAGAACCCACAGAACTGAACACAGGCCCTGGCACCTCCTAGGGCTATGTCTTTCATGAATCAATGAATTCCGTCTGACATCACCCCAGTCGGCAGGTTATCACACTATTTTGAGAAAAAATAAGGAATTTGCAGAAAAACAAATAAATGAGTGTCTATTGAGTGTTGGGAACCTGCCTCCTAATTATACTTGCTTGAATGAATCATCATAATTCTGCAAAGCAAGCACTGTACTGTGAAAAATGAAAGCTCCAAGAGGTAGGGCTTGCCCCTCTCCACACAAACAAATGCTTCCCTCTGTGTTTGCCTCACCACCACCCCCAATCACAGGGATTGTGGCATCACTTCCCCTAAGGCCACGTGAGGTCCCACCCCAGAGGATAGCACTGGGTCTTGCTTCCTCTTCCTCCCGACCGGCCTCCATCCCTCTCGCCTCACTAACCAATCTGTGCTACGTTGATCACCCACGTTGGCCGCCATCTGGACCTTGGGGTATAAGGGGTGGACCTCGGGAGCCAGACTGCTTTTTCACTGTCTATGAGAAAAAGAATGAGTTACGGAGACTTAAGGGGGAGCTAAAAACATGTCACAAAGTGGGGAGGAACAGTAGATGGACTCACGAGAAGCCAAGTAGAAAAGGGGAGGCTGACAGAGAAGCCACTGGGGTCAAGGATCTGAAGAGTTCTGGGTGTGGACTAAAAAGGCTGGAGTATGAGGAGAAGCCCCTGGCCGCTTTGTAGTGCTCCAGGTGGAAAACGAAGGATTTGGAAACAGGGAAGCCAGAACAGACTTCCCAAAGGGAAGCAGAAGGGTCTGAAATCCATGTGAGCAAAGAGAGGGTGTGACGAAAGGTCGAGAGGGCGGGAGTGCCTCCACCAAGGGGAAAAGTTCTAAAAAAAATTCTCGGGGCCAGGTGTGGTGGCTCACGCCTGTAATCCCAGCACTTTGGGAGGCTGAGGCAGGCGGGTCACCTGAGGTCAGGAGTTCGAGACCAGCCTAACCAACATGGACTAACCCCGTCTCTACTAAAAATACAAAATTAGCTGGGCATGGTGGCACATGCTTGTAATCCCAGCTACTCAGGAGGCTGAGGCAGGAGAATCGCTTGAACACGGGAGGCAGACGGCAGTGAGTTGAGATTGTGCACCACTGCTCTTCAGCCTGGGCAGCAAGGGTGAAACTTTGTTTCCAAAAAAAAAAAAGTTCTAGGGAATACGGGTTGTGAAAGGAACCTGAACCAAGAGAACAGATGCTATAATGAGAAGAGTCTGAGGGAACCCTTAAGGCTGAGAGGGTGGAAAGGTTTCCGAGAACTCTAAAAAAGACAATGCCGACGTGAACCCCAACGTGAAGAAATGGGTTCTCAGCACCGAGAGACTGATTTCAAACAGGTCTCTGAAGGGCAGTAAGGAGACCGACGTGGGAGTCCTCAGTGGGACTACCCCTGCCTGCTTCCACCGGAGGTTCCCGGAAGCAGGGGTAGGGCTGGGAGAGAAAAGGGATCACCTTGGTTGGGTGTCTGGACATAAAGCTTTGGCAATGCCAAAGAAGACCCAAAACATGTTCAAGGAATTAAGAGTGGGGTAGAGAGAACTGGAAGGAAAGTGGAGTGTCTCCGGGGCGAGGACGGCGAAGCCTAAACTCCCGCGAGGGAGTAACCGCTAAGTAGGATAATGAATCCCGCAAACTCCCGCGAGGGAGTAACCGATTAGTAGGATAATGAATCCCGCAGGAGAACCGGAATTCTCCCAAGTTGACGGGATAGGAACAGGAGTCTGGAGCTGGGGAAAAACCCTAGAAACGCAAAGGCTTAACTTAAACAGGACCCAGTGCGTAAGTGGAGACGAGGGATCGTGGCGGGGACACAGGAAAAGGCGCCCCCGGGCAGAACGGAGATCAGAAATAAGGTCAGGAGTTGGGGGCTGGGGAGAGGACTCCAGGACGGGTCTCAAGACCGGGAACAGGCACCAGACGTGAGGCCTGGGGTCCCGGGAGCACCTGGCCGTCCCGCAGGCTGGGCGAAGGCAAAGGAGGACGCCGGGTGGAAGAGGCCGCCCGGATCCCCAAAGACTGGCCACGGAGCCACTGCCCAGGCTGCGCCTGCGCACCACGCCCCAGAAAGACTCGCTGGAGTCGCCCGTCGCCCGGGGCAACACCCGGTCAATGGAGAGTGAGGGGCGCGCCCCAGGGCCCCAAGAACTCCGAGGGAGAGGGACTGGGAGTGGAAGACTACGGCGCACGCGCGCTAGTGCCCGAACGCGCGCCCCCAGGCCCGGTGCGCAGGCGCAGTGGCTGCCCCCTGCCCCGCCACACCCTGTCGACGCTCGCGCGCGGCGTCTGCTGCTGCGACAGCCGAGAAGGCCTCGGGGCTCGCGGGACGCTAGACCGAAAGGAGATGCTATCCCCGCCCGCCTGCTCGCCCGCCGCTCCCCTTACCAACCAGGACCCTTCGCTGCAGGGACACGCCAACAACCACCCAGGCGATTACCAACACGGCCACGACACAGCTCGGCCACCCGGCTGGCTCTGGTCTTCTTTGGCTTCGACGTCCTGACCGCGGCGTCCTGACGTCACGCGGCGGCCTCGCCCCGCCTCGCTCGGCCCTGCACAGCCAATGACCGCCACGAGCTACGCTTGAGCCCGCCCTCCCGCCCACGCACTTACGCATGAGCGTTTTAAGGCAGGCCGGAAGTCTGGGTGGGGACGGTGGCCCCGAGGGGACAAATGAGGCCGCATTAGCTGTTTTTGCCTCCCACGCAGCCCCGTTTTTTTGTTGTTGTTGTTCTCGTTCTCCGAGACGGGGTATTGCTCTTGCTCTGTCATCCGCCAGGATGGAGTGCAGTGGCGCGATCACGGCTCACTGCAACCTCCGCCTCCCGGGTTCAAGCAATTCTCCTGCCTCAGTCTCCAGAGTAGCTGGGATTACAGGCGCGCGCCACTATACCCGGCTAATTTTTGTATTTTTAGTAAAGACGGGGTTTCACCATGTTGGCCAGGCTGGTCTCGAACTCCTAACCTCATGATCCGTCCGCCTCGGCCTCCCAAGTGCTGGGATTACGGGCGTGAGCCATCGCGCCCGGCCGCAACCTTGTTTTGACTGAGTCAGTGGGAGCCATTACTGTTCCTCCATGTACACTGGCGTGACAAGAGTTCCGGGATTCGCCACAGCACCGTGATGTGGAAGCCCTGGGGAGAGAATGATAAAGAAAGGGGGTGAGGAACAGCTCCCCCCGGAAGAGCGGGCTTCCCTAGTCAATGAATCTGGAAGGGCGCAGTGGAGGGGGCGCGGCGAGTTCAGATGGATGGAGGCTGGAAGCTGGTGCGGTTGCAGGGCGCTGGGGTGAAAGTGTGTGGGGTCACAGGTGTGTAAGGGTGGGCGCGGAGCGGACCCCCAGAGGTCACTGAGGTCAGGCTGAGACATTGGACGAAATCTGTACATAGGCATTTCTCTGAACTCCGCGCCACCTGTTTCCATCCAGGACTCGGATACAAATTATCCAGTCCGCTGCAGGGACCGGTCACTGTGTCACAGTAAGTGGTAGGATTTAAGAGGCAGTTTTCCTCCTTATTTTGTACCATTATGAACTTGTAGCTTGAAAAGCACATACCATTTTCATAACTATGTATTATTTTGTTAATGCTAGCATAGATCTTTTTCCGTTATTTTACTGTGTGTGGTGGGGGGTCGTTTTCTTTTGTTCGTTTTTGTTTTTGTTTGGGTTTTGTTTTTTGGTTTTTGGTTTTGGTTTTGGTTTTTTTTTTTGGTACCAAACTTTTTGTTCCGGAATAATTTTGGATTTATTCAAAACCTTGCCAAGGCCAGGCGCGGTGGCTCACACCTGTAATCCCAACACTTTGGGAGGCCGAGGTGGGTGGATCACCTGAGGTGAGGAGTTCAAGATCAGCCTGGCCTGGCCGACATGGTGCAGTCTTGTCTCTACTAAAAATACAAAAATTAGCTGGGCGTGGTGACGCGTGCGCCTGTAATCCCATCTGCTCTGGAGGCGGAGGCAGGAGAATCGCTTGAACCCAGGAGGCCGAGGTTGCAGTGAGCCAGGGTTATGCCATTGCACTCCAGCCTGGGCGACAAGAGTGAAACTCTTGTCTCAAAAAGAAGAAAAGTTGCAAGATCATAATGCAGTCCAGCGTATTTTATGCCCAGTTTCATCTGATGCTGTCATCAGAAGCATCAATAAAAGTGCTTTGTTACAGATACTGACAGGATGCGTTAGTGTAACTAAACCCCAGACTTTACTGGGATTTCACCTTTTCCTCCAATGTTTTCTTTACATGCCAGAGTCCAAGCCAGGACCCACGCTCCATTTAGCTTTCTTTTACCTGTTGTTTAGGGCGGGTTTCTTGTAGATAGCATGTAGTTGGATCTTGCTTTTTTTTTGCCCAAGCCAACAGTCTCTGCCTTTTAAAAGAGGTGTTTATAACTGTACTTTTATTTTTTATGTCTTATTCTTTTAGCATTCTGTAACAGACACAGCGATAAAATGAAATGACTGGAACTTAAAAGTGAAAACTCTTTACAATTAAGCCCACAATTAGATACATTTATCTTACATGTCAGTAAAAAAAAAAAAAAAAAAATTATGAAAACAGGACGAATTATATCACAAAAGAACCCCAAAATAGAAAAAATACCTAAGAAATGTATCTAACCATGAAAAGTACTGTTCTTTTGGTGTCTTCTGTGTACTTAAGTACAAAACATTGTTGCCTCTGATTAATGCACCCTGTACTTATTTTTCTGTTGTCCAGTTACATATTTGGTCAAATCCAGGGCTATGTTCATGTACCATCCAGGCAAACCAGCACCCCTCCCTTAATCCACTTCAGAATTTTACCCCTACTGTCTGATGATTTGCTCTAAGAAGTCACTAGGGGGTTGCTTTTTTTTTTAAATCAATTATTTTATTTTATTTTTTTTTTTTGAGACTGCTATGTTGCCCAGGCTGGAGTGCAGTAGCACGATGTCAGCGCACTGCAACCTCTGCCTCCCAGGTTCAAGCAATTCTTGTGCCTCAGCCTCCCAGTAGCTGGGATTACAGATATGCACTACCACACCCAGCTGCGTTTTGTATTTGTAACGGAGACGGTTTCGCAGTGTCGAGCAGGCGGGTCTCGAATTCCCAATCTCAGGTGACCCGCCCGCCTCCGCCTCCCAAAGTGGTGGAATTACAGGCATGAGCCACTGCGCCTGTCCAGTAGGGCGTTGCTTCTGAACACTTATTTTAATAATCTTGGGTGGGCCAGGTGTGGTGGCTCACGCCTATAACCCTGGCACTTTGGGAGACTGAGGCAGGTGGATCACCTGAGGTCAGGAGTTCTAGACCAGCCTGGCCAACATGGCGAAACCCCGTCTCTACTAAAAATACAAAAAAATTAGCCAGGCGTGGTGGCGCATGCCTGTAATCCCAGCTACTCCGGAGGCAGGAAACCTGAGTTGTAATCCCAGCTCTTTTACTTAACCAGCCGTATGAGTTGGAAAACTCATTATTTCCCTTCTGTTGGCTCCAGATTCCTCATCTTGCAGCTGGGATCCAGAGTTCACACTCCCGGAGCCCAACCACAGCAAAAACCAAAACTGCACTTTTGGCCGGGCGTGGTGGCTCAAGCCTGTAATCCCAGCACTTTGGGAGGCCGAGACGGGCGGATCACAAGGTCAGAAGATCGAAACCATCCTGGCTAACACGGTGAAACCCCGTCTCTAC